TGATGGCCCGTATTATATAAAGAGTATTGCGACTGCTGTTCTGTACCACATGGTTTTTGTTATGAAATTTTATCTGTTTGATAACGGGTAGTATTTGTGCTTATAAGTGTATTATGATTATATTGCATGGAGTGTATCCCTGTGGTTGTAAAATCTCTGATCATTGCTTTTGGTTAATATTATTTTATATGTACATTTGGTACGTGTAACAATTAGTCTTGGTTATTCTCTGGTAAACTTGGCAGACACAAACTCCTGTATTACATATATAATAATTCAAAAGACCATTTCTCACTTGTTAGTAAGAAAAAACTGGATATAGTTGAAGCTGAATTGAATTGAGTGATAAAGATATTATATGTTTACCTGAAAGCCATCTTAATGAAATGATTCATAACAATGACTTGTTACTCCAACATGTTTCTAAAAATAAATCAGAAAATACCGTTGTCTGCGTCCTGGGGGAGGCCTTTTAATTCATTATAAGGACAATATCATTATGAGCAGAAGACTAGATCTCGATATTCCTGAATAAGAATTATTATGGTCAGAGATTACACTTAACAACAAAAAAACTCCTCCTCTTGACAGTAGTATTGATTACTGGAACAAGCTTGATAATTTACTAGATCATGTAACTGATGACTCTAGGCGAACAAATGCAGGCATTATTATTACTGGTGACATTAAGGTAAATATGAACAATATTCAGCCAAACTTTTGTTAATAATGTAATTACTCTTCCAATCTTTAGTGATCACACTGTAATCAACTTCAGTGCTTCTTACTCTGATTTTAGACAACATGCATATACAAAAAAAAATCTCTTGTATAATAATGCTGATGTTATCAAAATAAATCAAATGATTGATAACATAAACTGGGTAAGTATAAATGAACAACAAGATGTAAATGGCTTTAATACTGTACTAGTTGATGTTATAAATAAAGCTATAGATGACTGTATACCGATAAAGAAAATTACTATCCGACCAAATGATAAGCCATGGATGTTAAACGAGATAAGGTTAAAACTGAGACAGAGGAATAGAATCCAAAAAAAATGAAAATACAGATCAATAATCCAGATCATTGGGCAACTTTTAGGATCATCAGAAATGAAGCCATCAGCTTGATACGTAACTCAGAGGTCGATATATACAAAAATTAGAACACTTTCTAAATGATCCTAATGTTTAATCATCTAAACTATTCTAAAAATTAACAACAAGTCACCCATTATTCCACCATTAAATTACAATAACACTGTTTTGTGTCATCCACTTGATCAAGCCGAATGTCAATGTCTTTTCGATTATTTCACAGCCATATCAACATCCTCTGATAATATTGATCCATTGCCTCCGGTTCCTGATTCTCCTAACATACTTAATAACATTTTATTTCAAGAGCAGGATGTGAGGGATCAACTGACTGTACTTAATGATAAGAAAACCTGCAGGATCTGATGAAATTATACCAAAAGTTATCAAAATTCTTTCTCGATCACTAATAACTCCCCTTACTATGTTATTTAATAAAACCATGTCATCTGGTTCTATTCCTCTGTCTTGGAAATTGGCTACTATTCATGCTAAAGGTGAAAAAATGATGTCTCAAATTACCGTCCAATTTCTATTACTTCTTGTTTCAGTAAAATATTAGAAAAAAAGTAATTTTCAAGCATTTATATAATCATTTACTGGAATTTGAACTACTAACAAAATACCAGTCTGGAGTTATTCCTGGTGACTACTGTTTATCAATTAGTATCCATGTATAACATTATTATACAAAACCTGATGAAGGACTTGAAATTAGATCAACATTTTGTAATGTAGGCAAGGCATTTGATCGTGTCTGACATCCTGGCTTATTATTTAAACCTGGAAAATATGGCATTAAAGGAAATCTCCTTAATTTGTTTGAAGATTACTTAACTAATCGTAGTCATTGAGTGATAACAGAAGGCTTCTTCTCATCTTATAGACAGGTAAGTGCTGGTGTACCCCAGGGACCAGTCCTCGGTCCGTTTCTATTTCTGATTTATATAAATTATATTACTGAATGTATAACAAATGGGAAACAACTATTTGCCTATGATACGTCATACAAACCACTCCACTCGGTGCAGCCAATAGGCTAACAAGTGATCTTGAAATGTCAATATATGGTCTAAGAAATGGGACATTAATTTTAATCCTGCTAAAACGGAGTCTTCAACTTTTGGTCGGAAAAGAAATATAATTTCTCCTGATGTCATTTTTCAAAATGAAACTGTAGCAAATGTGTCAACTCAGAAACACCTCGGTGTATTATTTTCTGAAGACGGTAAGTGGCATCACCATATCAACTTTATTTATAATAAAGCGTATAAACGTATAAATTTATTGAAATCTGTAAAATATAAAATGAGTCGTAAAACACTAATCAATATATATACCGCTTATATTAGACCTATACTAGAATATGGTGATATAATTTTTGATAATTGTACACAGCAGGAGGCAACTTTACTTAAATCTATCCAAATAGAGGCTTCTCGAATAATTACAGGACTGCGTAAAGGAACCTCACACTATCAACTTTATTGTGAACTTGGTTGGGACACCCTTGCTGCAAGACGCAAAAACACAGACTTATTCTTCTATACAAAATTCTTACACGAACTGCCCCCACTTATTTAACTGAATTAATTGAATCCTTTTTCAACAAAATGAACTCATACCTAATAAGAAATGAAAGAATCTTTACAATTCCTGTGTGCAGAACAAATACTAATGCCAAAAGTTTTATCCCGTCTACACTTAAAGATTATAATGAACTTGCAGCAAGGTTTGACATGACTAACATCACATCACTATATCAGTTTAAACAACTTTTAAGAAGAGCTGTAAGTGACATCATGTTATAAGACACAAGTATAAAATCTACCTATGTCAATGCAAGTGATAGAAAATACAACATCCTACTCTGCCAACTTAGACATTCTTCAAGTAACCTTGATTTTGATTTATCTACCTGTGGTAATGCCCATGAAACAGTACATCAGTTTTTTTTCTCATTTGTAACAAGTATAATGAGCCACGTACATTTGTAAAACCCTCAAGGATAGATTATTTGATGTTAATCACAATCACTACACTCTGGATGTACTTCTATCTGGCTGTGGTGATTGTGATGAACAAACCAATGTAAATACATTCGAATGTACTGCTGAGTTTGTCAGAGCTACACATAGATTTCCACATATATAATACATTATATATTTCTGAGTTGATATTATGTCTCTTAAATATGAAGACCATCGGTAACGACTGTGCTTCTACATAATAAACATTGTGTGTCAGCATCACCCTTTCCTTTTCCTATGGTCGCCTTTCCCCCTTTTAATCTGATAGGCATATATTTTGTATGTTTAGTAAGCTATGTATCATTCATTATGATTATTGCATAGTGTTGTTTTATTTGATAGAATAATAACCAAGCAAGAACAATCTTATAACGGTGGACCAATTCAAAACCTCAGTTTGCATCTTTCTCTTTACTAATTTTTGTCATTCATATTGTATTAAATTTTCTAAAGAGAATGTAAAATCCTTGATTTACCTACTTATCAACAAATTCCTGCAAAATGCATGTATAAAAACAAATATATTGATTTAAATCCACCAACACTTCAAATCTGCCAAATTCTTTCTTTCTTAATTATCTTTATTGTAATAAAAATCAGAAAGCAGTATCCATGACTGGCCCTAAAACTCAAGGAAAGATGACCAGTGGCTGATAAGCCAATGTGGACATTTTTGGTCTGTATCCCATGAGTGGAGGGATGGATGCTGGATTCGAGGCTCTCAAAAATTATTCATTTTGGAAAATATAGTGAAAACACCATTTTATATATTATAACAACTCTTAAATATTGTCCTTACTTCCGAACTAATATCTCATATTTAAACATTTTGTGTTTCATACTTAAAATAATCAACTTTGAAATTTCAAAATAACAACATACTATATTATATATATATTTATATACTCATTGTTACTTTTAGGAGAGAACTAATATAGGCTATGCCTGTTGTTCAATCCTTTTTATAAATGAAATAAGATTTGTTGAAACTGAACGGCTGTCATCAGACGGTTACTTCACTGAACCGTGAACGGTCATATTTCAAATATTATAATTATACTGCTAAAAAACAAAACAGGATTAAAAAAAAATGATTGAATGATTGGTACTAACTATGTGTTAAAATTTCTTGTTCATGAATTTTATGTTTAAAATTAAATAGAAAATAAATATATAAATATAGATATATAAAGAAAAAATCTCCACAACGAGTCTTTAGTACTTTAGTACTTTCATCTCGTCAATTTGAAATATATATACACTTTTTCCATCTATAATACCATTAAATAAGAAAAATAGATGAAATTAAAGGATAAAGTGTTCGTAATATGAATATTATATAAACAAATATTGTGATACAGTGTATTCACAAAAATTTGAATAAAATTAATAATTAAAGTATTTTTGACAAATGCGTTTAAGCTCATTAATTATACGTAGTAACAGTTTAATTAGTTCTATTTATTTAAGTAGTCCACCATCATAAAATTATTATTATTACCAAAACATTCCTACCAGCATAATAACACCGATGAGGTCATTAAGGCAAATCAATGATCAATAAAAACGTATTAAAGAAAATAACTTCAAACAAACGAAAATGTAAAAGAAACATGTCAATTTAAATGTTAAAAGTGACTATGGATAGTTTTAGAACAACCAACAGTTTTCAAGAAGTCAAGATTTTTTTCTCTGGCTTATTCATATATCATGTTTTTTATTCATTGAACACGAAGAACCACCTCGATACATATTTTGTTTTAATATTTTTTAAATGTAAAACGCGTCTGTTAGACTGCTTTGGATTCAGTCTGTACGACATATTTCATAGAAATATATATAAAAGACTTAGATTTCTTTTCAAACATTAAGTATCCATAAAAAGCTTGTCATATTTACCTATGGTCTCTACTTTGTAGACGTCATGCTCCTCCAATTGGGAGTCAAAGGTGTTGTACAGCAGGTTAAGAAAGTCGACCCCCTCAAATGGCGTACACCCTGAACAGATGGTCGTGAAGCCGACGACGTCCGAAAAGAACACAGTCGCGCATTTGTACATCTGTGGTTCAACCTTCTCATTTACCATCAGCTTCCTTGCTACGGAGGCTGGGAGCATCTCACAAAGAAGAGTCTCGCTTCTCTTTCTCTCTTTTGATAGAAGTGATGTTTGGGCCTACAAGGTACAAGACATGACTTTATGGTGCAGTGTGATTTATTTTTAGAATACTTAAACTAATACCAAAGTGCAGAGGGAAACAACACATCTTGTTCTCAAAACCTGAAGGTCCGACGTGCAGTAGTATATAACCTAATTCATACAAAATAAGATAGGACTTGTTTGTTGTTAAGGATTTAACGTCTTATCAATAGCTTAGGTCATTTAAGGACGTGCCTCCATGCGTGTTGCGTATGCGTGCATGTGTGTATGTGTGCGGGATATATATATTTTAGCGTATTTGCATCCTAGTGATAGCGCAGATATGAAGCCGACTTTATAGTGCTATCTCACTGAAATACTATGCCAAAGTCACCCAGCAGAGTATTCCGCCTGGTCACATTTTACTGAAAACGAGTGAACCAGAAGGGCGTGTAACAGGTTAATACAATCACCAAAATTGCACTTGCTGAAAAGTATTTTTTCTCTGCCAGAATGCAAAGTAAATATTTTACAGCGCCATATGGGTGTTTCGACCTCATCGATGATAGTAAAATGTCTAAAGTGTTCCGAAACATATCTGGATTACAGCGAACAAAAAGGAAATATGTTTGGACTAATCAGAAAACCAAGATGGCGGTCATCTTGAATTTGGAGAGTAACATTTTGTTGGTTTCTTTAAATGACCTTTGCTGTTAATAGGATGTTAAACAAAACATAAAAACAAAACAAAACTAAGAAAGTATGGGAGAGATATTTTAGAAGTTATAGGAAAACAAAGATAGCCGACAACCAGCCGACTACATTTTTGAGAGTTGAAGCGTGTTTGCGCTATTTCACAGAAAGTACTGGAAATATCTTTTTCAAATTTGATATGATAGTTTTCAGTGGTGCATTGTTATACATTTTCAATAATGTGACTGACCGGAAAACAAGGATAACCGACAGGTGACCATCTTGAAATCTCGTATTTCACATGTACGCTTCCAATTGTTTGTTATTGTGAATATTTCATTTTGAGACTAATTAGAAAATGGACAAGCAACAGACAGCCATCGTTAATTTTGACAGCTCTATTATGTTTTCACATTTTTTTATGAAGTACTGGATATTTTTTTCCAATTTCATATTTTGATTTTTTATGCCTTATGTTATACATTTTGAGGCAGATAAGAAAAGACAAAATGGTCGCCTGGCACCAATTTCTTATTTTATGAAATTTAGGTTCCCCTTGTCATCGTAAGCCAATCCTAAAGAATTCGAATCTTCCCTCAAACTACTGGATCATCATTAAATCTTACGAACTAGTACAGTGTGGTACACTAAATGCCAGACTGACTTGTTCAAATCAATGTGTTCACTCAGCAACACCACTCTCGGAAAGATGTTTCAAGACTATATTGGAAAAAATATTGACGTTATGGTGTTCAAGATCCTTTAAGGATCTTTTGTTCATATATAACAAACCGCTTAGGAGTCTTGAAAAAATACTTTTACTATACAACGGAATATCAGAACTGTATTGCTATTTAACTTGACAACATAATCTAATTATTAGTTTGACGTCCCCGCAACAACCGGGGTCATATTTGGATGAGTGCCCATGAAATCACCACATGACAAAAACTGTAGAACGAAAAGAAAGAAGACAGCAAAGAAAGGAAACGTACAAGTGGCAGCAGACCAATATTGGTCCCTTCCATGTCACCTCATACAACGGGATACGGCAGGCAGTTTCTCTCCCCGAACCTACACGGTAAATATAAGGAAAAGAAGTATCATTTTGTGTCTTACCTTCAGAGACATAGCCACTTGCTGGATCTGGTACGTGAGTTTGAAGACCACTGCCAAGATAATAGGATACAGAAACACAGCTCCTACCATAAGCCCAATGCTTAGGTTGTAAGCAGTGTTATTTTCTTTTAGTTCCATCTCTAGGGCTGAAAGAATGCTCTAGTAGAGGAAGAAAATTGACAATTGTTAAGGTTGGTGACTTATTTTACAACTGTAACGTTCATATTTGGTCAGAAACATTTCTTTTACCAGACTTGATGACGTGTTATTTCAACAAGCGAAACTATTTTTACTTGGATGTCATGTGTTTTTAAGCGATCTTGTTGTTAAAAATTGGCTCTTGTAAAGAATTAAGGTGGTCAATGTTATTTATTTCAACAAAGTTGTAGCTATTTTGATTAACATCCTAGTATTCAAAGCTTACCGATCCAAGCGTGTCCTGAATGTCCTTCAGTATGTTGATATACGACGTCATGTTAGCAAACCATCCCAGAGAAGACAGCACTGTCATGTTATTTTCAACAATCTCTCGTCTCATTTCCGTAATATCTACGTGTAACTGAGTATACATATAGTTGTCATTTAACATGGACGACACGATTGTAGAGTATGTCATGCAAAGATCTGTATACATACTGGCAGTTGATTTCTTTTCGATGTACGATGCCAGGTCAGAGCTTGAATAAGTTCCTGTATAAGCAAGACACTATTTCAGATTAATTTCGATGGATCATATCGGCCCTGTTGGTGTACATACTTATATAATTAGTTTTTGCTTTTTAGGAGTTAACATCTAAGGTATTTTAAGGATGTGTTTCCATGTGTGTAATGTATGCGTGCGTGTGTATGTATGTTGAAGGCAGGATATGTTGTATATTTACCTCCTGGCGAAAGCGGGCATCTAATGCCGACCTCAGAGTGTTACCTCACTACTAAAATACCCTTTCAAAAGCACACAGCACATCATTCCATAATTACGATGGGTAAACCAGTCTTCTCTAGCACACATTCTTAAATGGTTTACCCGTTGTCAGTACAATTGGACCGGGCGGAATGCTGTGCTGGTTGCCAATGACATGAAATTTTGGTACAGAAGCACTATAAAACTGGCATCAGATCCGCGCTATCGCACTATCTGATAGCGTGTCAGTACAAAATCTCAACTTTAACCTTGTGGGTGGAATTTATTACTGTGTGGTTAACTTGAAGTACTTATCCAATAAAAAGTTAAGTGATGATTTTTGAACTTATCAAAATGTAGTATATATGGTACCTACCTATAGCATAAATGGAGCTTCCCAGTGCCCTTTCTAATCCTGTTTCGTCCTTTGCCAGCAGAAGCAGGTGATATGAAACCATTGATTTCCAGAGCTGACCCGACACTGCAAGGTTAGCAATTTGCGCGATCCATTCAATGATAACGGCATTTAGATCAGAATACAACTGAATAATCCGGTTTGAGGTTATGCTCTTATTCACAACTAAGTCACGGTATTGTTGTATTCTTTCATGGTATGTGAGTTTAGATTTAAAATATGCGGGAAGGTTAGTGCTCGTTGGCCATGCCTTAAGTTCTGCAATTGCATTGTCCGTTATTTGATGTATTTCTAAAAGCACATCGCGCACTAAAGGGTCTCCGTTCGAGCTTAAGTACATTACACTAACCCCGCGTTCTCTTTGGGTTTGATGGACAACTTCTCCGATATCCAATCCTGTGTAAACCCCTTGTCTAATAGCGTTTTGTGTAGCATAATCGGAAATACTCTCAATAACACCAACCAAAGTGATACATGTCAGAACAAAAATAGGAATAAGCGTCGGGAAAAGAATCTTTATCATTTGACAGCGCTGACCTTTCTTCGAAAAACTGACATTGTCTGTCTGGGAGCAACATCCAGTTGAAACTGTAACAAATTCATTTTCCTTTTCTGTTTCAGATAGTCCGGAAAAACGGGACAACATCCCTGACCCCTCTTTTGGGTTCGTCCTGGCGGACGACTGTGCCATGGAAATAATACTTCGCTCGGACCGGTTTCTCACAAATTTTTGGACAAGCTGCACCTAGATGTTCAACAATTCATTTCTGTGAAAAAGAAACAAAACATGAATTAAATAATTTTTAAAATAACATTTCTCATTGACATTGAATGTTTATCATGAAACAAATATTGGCAGTTAACAAAACACTGCCAATATCTTAAATAAATTACGAAATGTATTATGAACGAATGTTGCACCTTAACAAAATCTACGTAGAAGTATCGGTACTGAATCTCCTTTCTAGTTTCTCCCGATTCTCATCTCATTGAAAAGGTGTGTCTGTCCACATCGAGATGTATATACAAAAGCAGAGCTGCGACGACTACGTCATTGTCACGTGACTTTTTGTGTTGGAACATTAACATGATTGACAAATTGGTCCACAGTACAAGCAGCTGTTTCACAGTACAAGCCGTTTACAGTTTGTCAAGTGAACAATTTTAATTACCTAACGCAATTTTGATAAAACGTGTTTTCTCTTGTAGCATGTTCCTGACAGTTTTCTTGATCATTAAGCACTGTCGCTAGCAAGGATTTTTATTGACTATGTCGTTAAGTATAAGTGTTTTCTAATAAAGCGTAATCTCTAAGCATCGGTAGTGATAGTGTAGTTGGACGGAAAAGGGAAAAGAGAGAGAGATATCAAGAGTTGTAGATTAATTAAGGTCATTTCATTGTTCAGTACCCCTGCATATCATTAATATAGTTGATAAGTATCGGCAAACAGAAAAAAGCGTATACAATTATTCTCCAATGTCAGGTAAACTAATAATAAATTGTTGATTAATATAGAAATACAAGCCCTATACCTTATTACGATTCCGGGAAAAATGTGTTTAGTTTTTTAGTCTCAAACTCTGAATCTGTTGCTAAAAAAATATTTAATCAATTTGTTGAAAAATAATAAACAACCCAAACTAAATAACGTACGTGTAATTGTTTGTTTTTATTTAAACCAGGCGATCTCAAATGTTCAAAAGGCGATGAAATATTAAACTTGTGTTTGGAAAATATTGGATATGAATATCATCATATGTATAAAACAAGTGAATGTGATGTGTTTGCATAGAGTATTATTCCTGTATTATCTTACAAATCCAACTGAAATGCGGCAAGCGAATTCCGTGTAATTATTGTTTTTTCTCTCTCTTAAAATCGTCCTTCTCTGCTTATATCTCAAACAGGTATAATTCTTATGATATTCTCTTTAGTAGTATTATTTGATAATTATAATCAGTATTTATATGAATGATATTGAAGCCGGAGCGTTAGTTATATGTATCTTATCTATACATCTTACAACACAACATACATGTATACATTCTATGCACCCTGCTACGCTTAATCATATTCATTGCTGTACCCACGGACTCAAATAATCTAATTCCGTGCTGTACCCTCAAGTTACACATTTTCATTTGTCTGAGTGATGAAAACATAATCTGAAATCTGAATTACTTGTGTAATTCCCTCCTTAAAACAGCCTTGAACCAAAGTTTTTTTTATTGCTTTCTCTTGACAGTCATTTTGAAAAGTATATTGCACAAACAGCACTGATTTTACTATCCTAAACAATAGCGAATTTATCCCAACTTTCATCTGGTCTTTGCTTTTACCTTGCCTTACATTTATTATTGTTTAAACGTGTGGTCACCCCTGTTACCTGCGGCTATTGTTATTTCGAAGGTAAATACCACAAGGTTACTACCTATGGTTTCAGGCACAGGGAACCGGGAATTTGTTTGTTTGGACCTATCGCGCAGTATAGTAATATCAGATCTTCTTCTTCTTCTTCCTTTTGTGATAAGGCGTCATGTAGATTAACTTAATCTGAGAATTTAGGAAGTATAAATTAGATGTTTTAGTGGTTAACACTATTTCTCGAAATAGTTGCCGCCCCTCCTTCTAACCGCACCCAAGAAATGTACCCTGAACGTTTTGCTATATCAAGCTATGGAAATACTTCGTTTAATACAACCAAATGCTAAGAAAGTGCGAACGTCGTAGTTGACTTCGTTTTCGAGATATTGTGATTTATCTGAAAAACACACCTTTGGCTCAGCGGCGATCGCCACGATATTGGTAGCCCACATACCTGACGTCACAAGTTCAACGCTGTCAAAACAGCCCTATACCGGGAAACTTTGATCGTGCGTTCGATATGTGAGCTTTTTAGCTACTTATATGATATATTCCGTCGTCACTTGCTTGTGTGGTAATATTTAAAATACTACATACATATATTTTGTTTTCCCCATTTTAATGAAGAAATAAGTTTCTACTGAGAAGGCAAATGATGTGCTGTAATGCGGGTGTCCGAACACACATGCGGGTGCTATCTAAATGAATCCGTGTTTCTACATAATTCGTTAATCTAGTGAATGTAAATATTATACTTTTTATTATTTAATTGATCTCTAGAAAATTTGATGAGCACCTATATACAATATAAAGCAATTGAGTAAAAATTGAGTCAAATTAACGTAGGAGCAACCCACCCTTTTCTTTACAATATGTAGATATACGATTGAAACAGACGAAAAAATGCACCGGTACAATCATTTATGTTCAAATTGAGCAGCAATCCGAGTATTTTTACCCCCAGTTATAAAATCTTGAAACTTTTTAAATTTAAAACAATGTTGCTGAGGGAGAACCGGTCCGTCCAAGTCTCACAAAGATTATTAATATCACGGAATTAGATAAGTCCGTGGTAATATATAATGTGCATAACAGGGTCCAGCATTATTTGCCTTGTTACTGACTTTCATCTGTCCGGTGATGCAGTTGTACTGACTTTGATTTGCATATAATGTGACTCTTTGGCAGTACTTACACATTTTATTTATCTTTTTCTTGAAATTGATCCTTATACCTGAGACGTAATATATACGTCTCTGCTTATACATTTCCCTGTTATCTAGACTGAGGACATTGCAGTTAAATGGCAAATTGGAAGACACATAATCTACACCAATCTACATACTGAGTATTATATTTCTAACTGCTTTATCGCAGGAATATGTTTATATGATTCCATGATAAAATGAGCATATTTTAGCAAAGATATGGTTTATTTATAAGTTTATATTTTAGTTGAATTATGTGATAATTTACTATTGTAAATTAAATATTTATAGTGTTGATACATATGTATAACACGTGTGTATTCTAATGTTGATTTAGGCAGTTATGAATGTAATATGCAATTAGTTGAGACGTAAATAAATGTTAATAAATCAATATAAATATACTAACTTTAGGTACCCCCTAGTCCACCTGCTAACATCCCTTTGATGTATAACTTCCACAAGAAAGGGCAACATTCTATGACAGTTATGATGTCAATATGTTTGATGTATTGGAATTGCCAAATTCAGCTGTATGGGTCATGTATTTATCACGGGTGATCTCAACAGTAGAACTGGAAGAGAGCCTGACTTTATTCCATTTGATGTTCTACATGATAGTTTACATCAGGTTATAGATAATTTGATACCCTATGAAGATGAAGTTGATGAAAGTGTTCGTAATTCTGAAGATGTTTTTGTTAACCAATTTGGGCCTCGTCTTTTGCAAATATGTAAGACTACTGGTTTTCGAATATTAAATGGTCGGACGACTGGTGATATCGAAGGTAAATTTACGTTTTATAACGCCTAAGGTACAAGTACAATTGATTATTTACTGGCTCATAGCCATTATTTGGACCAGGTTCATTATTGTAATGTTGGGGATTGTATTGAATATTCTGACCACGCGCCATTGTTTTTCACCTTAAAAGCAGACACCCATATTTGTAATTGTTGTGACTTCAGTAATACGTTTAGTACTACTAAGTCTGTGTCCTGGACAGAAGAAGCAAGAGTGAATACTGCTGATTCTATGAATGCAAATAGGGCATTAATTGCAAATTCGTTGAATACCTTAGAGAATACTATGGACAGTATTGACAAATGTTTGGAAGTACTGGTTAACAATGTTCACTTTATTTTTGACAAGTCTTGCTGTTTCGAGAAACGTATACGTACTTGTAATTGTTCTTGTCATCAGAAGTCTAGACGTAATGTCAAGGAACCTGACAAACCATGGTTTGATAACGAATGTAAACGTTTACGTAGAATATATAGAAACGCTATAAGATCTTTTAATATATGTAGAACTGTTAGCAATAGAGAAAACTTAGTTCGTGAAAAGAAGAAATACAAGACCTACGAGGCGAGGGTGAAGAGATATTATCTTCGGAATGAAGGCGATATGTTAGACGTTTTGTGAAAAAATGATCCAAAAGTTTTTTATAGTAATTTTTCTAGACGTAA